CCAACATCATCGTAACAAGATTTACAGCTTTTGAATAACACCAGCACCCTACCAGCAACTTCTCTCGCCTGGGCTTTCAGCGTCCCTCGGAAAAATTTCATGTACATGTACCTTGCCAAAATTTAAATACGGCTCATCCGCGGTTCGTTGGCAGAAGGTGCGAGGGCTGGAGTGATGTTGAGGAACGGGGTAGCTTTTTCAAATTCTTGTCATTTTCAAGTTTCTGTTTTCTCAATTCAAAGTTGCCCATCCTCTTACGGGACCCACGCAATGTAGGCTTTCTTTCTGAACGCAGTTCCTCCTGATGCTCCTTTGGCTTCGTGGACCTGAGTGTCAGTTTTTGAGAAGTCAGTCTAACTAAGGAATTTGCAAACTGGCATACATGTATTTATTACCCAAAGTGTGATGTAATTAAAGGCAGAAACCTCAGTGCTATGCAACTGCGTCTGCACTAAAATTTGCCCAAAGTTTAGAGTTTGCTGTCACTCATGTACATGTACATTAACTTTTCTTGACCGATACTTCCACAAACATGTCACTTTATGACAATATGAGCAGATGTTTCAATGTACATGTACGTACATGTACATATAGTACCTGGACTCCGTGTACATCTTGTGTAGTAAACGAAGCATATTACTACAAGTTACCAAATACAACAGGGCAGTGCCAAATATCCCGATATTCGATTGAGTATTGAATATTCAAATACTATTTTCCGAATTTGAATATTCGAATGCAAAATTCATGAAAATGAAGTGAGAATTTTCTTTGGCTTTAAATGCAAACATTTGCACTGTGGAGGCTTGTTTTAAGCAGACTCAAATGAAAAACGACAGAAATCTTACAACGATTCAAAAATTAATTTATTCATTACAAAAGTTTAAAGGACAAGAGATATTGTTCGTCTCTAAGTCTTGCTACATCATGGCTGGAGATACTCTCAGACGTGAGAAGCGATTACAGCGATTAAAATGTATAACTGTGTGTGATATTGCAACTGATTTTGTATTTTATATAGATTGTTCATCAACAATCTGCTGGTCGGTACGAACGAATATTCAGATATTCTATCGACTTGAAGGTCGAATATTCGAATGGTGAATTGTTTGAATTGACTCAGCCCAACAATACAAGTACATGTACAGTACATGTACTTCTGACTAAATACACTTTACAGCCAGTGAGTGAAGTTTTCTCACTCATAAACATGTACAGCGTAAACTGTAGACAGATTTTGAGTTTGCAGCTCAGAAAACCCCATGTACATGTAAATTAGTAGTGACCTCTGACCTCTAGAATGGAACAGCGGTGTTCAGTCTGTCGAGCTACCGGTATACTGGTACACTATCATGACTATCAGGACAAATACATGTGTTGGAAATTTCAAAATTTATGGTTTTGTTCAAAGGTGCGGGTGAAAAGCATTCAACCTCTTACTGTTTCAATTCCAAACCACTCAGTCACCAATGCCAACATTATTTCCAAATTGAATTTTTTCCAATTGTGAAATTGGATATTAAATTATATAAAATGCAAAATACGTGTAGGCCATGTTTAAGTCTGAGTTTAGTTAACCACTTGCTGCCGGGTGGTTTGAAAAATGCAGTGCACACAAACGGGACATTTTCAAAATATTCAGTTTTCAAAATTCTTCAAAAATTCATCATTTCAATTAATGGACGTTTACACCCATACGAATGACTGTCTGGTGGCTACTCTAATCTGACAGACAAAATCCATTGACACCTGAGTACATGTGTTTCAGCCAGGCCTGCAGCCTTGTAAAAAGAGTCCAGATTGGCGGTGTTATGCACTGTAACTTTCTTTCGTTCATTAACCTGGCTCTGTGTGCTGCTGACCTCTTTTCAATCATGTCAATAGGGGCCAGATTAGCGTGCAGCGGTACTGTGTGGCTTATCGCTGCGGTGGTGGAGCGCTTTTGTCCCCGGTGGTAATCCGCTCGCGCTAATTGCCCAAAACCATGGTATACTGTTTCAAAACAAGGCTGGATTTGTTCCCCTATTGAGAGTGAAAAAATGTTGGTAATGCCCTATAGTCTTTTGTTCCGAGTACAGTCTTTTGTTACAAGACCCAGTTCCCTTTGTCGGATTTTTGGAGACCCCAGCCACACGTATAAAGCACAGGCCTACATGTACGTGTCCGGTACCGGTTCCCTGGTGGCAAGAGGTTAAGAAACGTTCTAGAACATACATGTACATGATTTAAGAGTTACATGTATACCTACCGGTCGATACATGTACCGTACTTTAACTACAGTATGTGTAGTGCTGCTTGTAAACAGGGAAATTTTTCGATCTCCAAATTCTTCATTGTTTCATTCCTGATAATACACCTGCTCACAAGCCCATTAGTATTACCGGTGACACAAATGGACAGGTGCTCACTACATTTACACAAGTACACTGACCTCCAAGAGTATTTTAAGCTTACATGTAGGACTACCGGTAGTACATACTTGCATTTTACCCTGTACATGTAATTAATTGATAGGGACAAATTCTGTACACTGTCTCTGTACACATGTACATACATATTGCCACTGCATGGCTACATGCTGTACACGTAGATTTACCGCACAAAGATACTACATGTACATGTAGTGGTAATTAAGCTCTCACAGACATTTTTCTTTGGGGGGGGGGATTTACCCAGGGCTGGAGAGCTGTTACATGTACATGTAGGAAATGCTTGCTAACATGTGTACAGTGTGCGTGTACACTGTACTATGCCATTGCCAATTTATACATACCGGTGATATTCTTCCCAAATTTCCCCGGACTCTACAGACCTGTAGATTGCTAAAATCTCCCACCCTCCTCAAAACTAAAAAGAGCTCTATCCTCATTCATTTTGCTGAAATTAAAAAAGGAAAAAAGTACTACGGCCGTTAGTGGGGCTTCCCAAAAGTCCCCCCCCCCTCCGTTCTGTTTCATTTTCCCCTGTTACTGTACATGTCTTTCTGGTCAATCCAGCAATCAGACATGCACACTGCTATCACTCACTACATGTACATGTAGTCTGTCATTTTCTAATATGGTACCCATATCCGTCAGCATTCAGCCCCTATTTAAATAAAAAGGAAACCCAGCCAAAGTAATATAACAAGCCAGGGCAACCTGTTCGCTGTCCAACACTAACTGCCATGCATCTTGTATGCACACTGATTCAGTATCATATTACAGGATCATGTGTATGGAGTGTTTGTACTTGAATCATAATTAATATACCAGGGAGGGGAGGTAGAACATCACTCAGGCCTACACGTACACGTACAGTAGGTGTTGATCTACAATGTAAAGTGTACAGCTGGTACACATGCACTTGTGCCATATGGTAACGGAAACACCCAAACTGTTTGAACTTGCCATGCTTTGGGGCCAGATTTTTAAACCTTAGTGACTATTTATTAAAATTTATGGAAGATATTCCATAGGGCTGTGCCAAATATCTGAATATCTGGGTACTCGATCGAGTATCGAATATTCGAATGCAAACTTCATCATTTTAAACAAAGGGAGAATTTTCTTTTGTTTTATAGGAGAATTTTGCACAGTGGAGGCTTGTTTCAAGCAGACTTAAAATGAAAAGCGACAGAAATCTTACGATTCAAAAATTAATTTATTCATTACAAAAGTTTAGAGGACAAGAAGTATTGTAGTATCTCGCTAAATCTTGGCTGAAGATACTCCCAGACGTGAGAAGCTATTACAGCGAATAACATGTACAATTGTGCGCATTATTGCAACTAATTTTGTTCATGTACACATGGACTGCTCATCAACAATATGCCGGTCAGTATGACCGAATATTTGGATATTCAATCAAACTGAAGGTCGATTATGCAAATAGTGAATTATTTGAATTGACTCTGCCCTAATAATGTGAGGTACTGGAAATGAACCTGGCCCCAAAATTTGCATATATTACATTATTATTATTTTCAAAAAAATTGTTGGCTGGGGGAGGGGCAGGTTTCCATCTGCCCCCTCCCCAGATCTGCCAGTGTGTCTTACATGTACATGTACAAAGGTAACTGTGTTTTGGATGAAAACTACAGGCTAGTAAATATTAAGGGGTTTTGCCTTTTTAAATTAAGGGGTGTGGCCTTTTTCGAAGGGGGAGGGGGGGTGCATTCCACATCGTCATACGGAGTCTGAATAACTCTCATACCGCCAGAACCAATTACTATTGTCCAGACAAGCGTATATGTATGTATGTATATGTGTAACACCTGTTGAAGTCTGATTCTTTTCATTTCATTTGACGTGGGGGTAACTGCCCACAACAGAAGTGAAACATTAAGCAGGGTTCCATTTCAGTGTTTTTTTCCTCGTCTGATTAAACATTTGTGCCTTTTTTGTTATTGAATAACCAGCTCAGAGCTCAGCAGAATTATCTGGAACAGAGGCAACATGGCTGTGAAAAAATCTGGAAAACGGAAATTGGGGTGGGTCACACCCGCTCTGGATCAACTGATTCTGGCATGTCACAAAATTGCAGTTTCCACTGTGACGGTGTCTTCATAGGCATGATAAATGTTTACATATATTTTAGCATGACTAAATAAGGCAAAGAAATGAACACAAAAAGGACAGAGTTCAATACGGATGCTACTTGGCAGCAAGTGCACAAACCCACTATGTACATGTACAGACCATGAAGATTAGCCTGAAAAATTCCAAGCATTTTCTATGTACATACAGGTGTGTCAATGTTTTTCCTGCTAACTCTGACATTTTAGGTCACAAATTATTATTGATTTCAAACATGTCAAATGTCTAGTAAAATTAAGAGGGGTCGGTACATCATGTACCGACCCCACTTACATGCATATGGAATTCCAAAATATTATGCACAGAACATGTCAACTTTGGGCATTTCCATGATAACAGCATTCATCATTCACAGGGTCGGATGATTTCAAGTTCAAATCGCAAGCTCGGCTTCATTTCAGGCAAAACTTTGGAACGACTTACCACTCTTAAACGCCCTTCAACATTTAAGGCAATCTTGGAAGCGACGAGAGCTAGCCGAGGAATTGGCAAAAGCGAAGCAGTGAATCTACTGACAATCCGATTTCAGATAAATAGTTGAATTGCACCCCGGTCCGAGTTTAAGTTTCAACCTTCATGCACTGTGCCACGCGCGTAGATCTGGCGATATCCACCCAAAATCCCAGTAGAAAAGCAAACAAATTGCGGACACCTACATCCCAGTCGTAAATATCCCAGGGCCGATTGAATCCTGATCGATACATCGAAGCAAAGCAGGCATCTACATGTACATGGACATTTCAGCCTGATGTGGGTAGGTAAATGTATAGAGGTGGAGCGACCCAATCGATGAAAAATCCAAACAGGTGTTTTTGTCTGCTGTCGAAGTTTTTCGATCGATGCCGTGTTTGTGTAGCCCGCCCTCATTCGCTGACAATTTGATAGGCGCTTTTTTCTGTGGCGTTTTACTGTTTTTATTTTTTATTAAAGTTATTAGTTTGGATCGTTTTAAAAATTCAAGGTACAAGGAAGCTGGAGTTCTAGGAATAATGATAATACAAACACATTGTTGATATATGCTTCACAAACTCGGCATCTTCTGTGAAGTGATCGTCAATAAAAAAAAGTCGGGCCTATCACAGAGCTAGGTTCCAAGCTCTCATGGGTCAGTCAAGCGAACGTCATTTTTTCTTTACAAGGAAGCCCAATAATTATTTGCTTCTATGGATAAAACTATCAAGGTATTATTCTAAGTCTATTGATGAGGTAGTAAGTGAATTTAAAAAAAATCCTCAAGGATGCTATGAACCGGTTGACTAGACCCGTCCAAGGAAACTTCACTGTCTTCCACTAATGGAAATCACCCGGGCCTGTTTATTCAATCAAGCGTAGTTAGCTGTGTGATATATATGTATAAAAGAAACAAAACAAAACAAAACAAACAACCTTACCCTTCGCTGTAGACCATGGATGGAGGAAGGACGATTCCTTTCCACGGCTACACAAGAAAAAATAATGATTAAATGTTCCTTAAAAACACATATTGAAAATAATAAACCAGTTTTTCCTGTGAACTGTTTCTATTACTTTATACGGCAAATGAAATTTCGGACATTATGGATTCACACTGTTTTGTGGTTTTTTTTTTTTTTTACCAAGAGTGCTGCAAGACCCGCCCATCTATATCTATAAACAAACGCATGAGCTGTCGAGAGAGAAAAAAGGGAAGTGCGACCCCTCTCGGCTTTCCTTAACTAGCGACAAACTTGACCGTCAGAAGTATTTGGCTACGGCTCGATACAAGATACACCTGTATGGGCATTGCACGAAGCCGCTGGCTGCCAGCTTCGATAGACAAGCGTATTATGGTAAAGCCGTAGCCGGAAAGGACATCAACGAGTGTAGACGTGGACTACGGCAGACTCAGCAGTGATTTTCGTGTGCCGTAACAAAATGTCATATAAAACTTGCTGAAATGTTCTGATTCGTTCTTTTACATGATACAGATACAATTAATATGGTAAGTACGGACTAGGCCCACGTGCACTTTGGTTTTGCATTAGTTAAAGGATTAATTTTAAGGCTTAGCGCAGGAGTTATTGCAAAGTTCACGTTGTCATGGTTGTCCAGATTACGGACAGCATAATTCAGTTGCTCTTTCCTGCAAAAGTGCATTGTTGTACTTGTTGTTAGGACCTTTTAAGACCACCACAAGTACAGATAATTCCTTTGTCGTCGTCCACTTATCGCATAGGCAAAAATTATGTTCTCATGGGCAAATTTTTCAGCTCAAATTTATGAAAAACTCAGCCTAGGCCTACCTTTCAAGTTTCATTTGTTTATTGAGGTAAGTATGGAAGTTGAGCGTGCCATAGGTTTGGATGGATTGGGAAATATGTTATGTGCTATAGGCATACTTTATGCGATATTGACGAAATGGAGGTTGCCATGATTGTTAGCTGGTTAGGCCTAGGCCTATGAGAAGTAAAACACGTGGACAGTAGTGTCGGGGAAAGTGGCACGAGTACAGAATTTTTCCACACCACGTCTAGCATGTCTAGAGAGGGAAGAGTTCCATATACCAGACCTATCTCCACAGATTGAAACACTTTACTACTGTTTAATTCTGTGTGGTTGGGGAAGGTTAGGGTTAATTTATTTCAATTGTATGGACTTAATGTACATGTACGTGGCCGTCATGAATATTTACACAGGCTAAGATTTCATTCTAAGGGCCTAATGTCTGCCTCAAGCTGTTTTAATTTTGTTTTCTTTCTTGCTGCGTCCCAGTCTGCCTTATTCAACTTCCAGAGTTTACTCAGCGTCGTGCTTCTCCTGATCTGCACTTGTGCGTACATCAGAGGTCTGGCACCACGCCTCCTGGATAAGAACAAGGAAGGGTGAGTCCATGTATAATCAGTACTGCATGGCGCGCTGCACTTTGTTGGCCCTCCGTTTTTGTGAGCGGGCTTGTTCACATTATTGCATTGGTATTTGCTCACACACGCCAGTTACATGGATGTTTCACATGCTAAACTTTTCCCTTGAAATAGTTAACTGTACTTGCATATCTGACACAAGTGTGGATCCTTGAATGCACATCTGGAAAACAGCAAAAGCAGTGGCTTGCATGTGATGTTAAATGACCAATGAGAATTGTGCTCTTCATCATGAATATGTATGAGGTAAAACAGCAATCACATCGTTTTGTTTGGCTGCTCTTGTTCCAGCTTTCTGGGCATCTTCTGGAAGTGTGCCCGGATTGGCGAGAGAAAGAGCCCCTACATTGCTGTTTGCTGCGTTGCCATGGCATTCAGCATCCTCTTCTGGTCGTGACAACCGTTGCTTGGGACCACACCATGTTGGAACTCGCTCAGTCGTCACCAACAACTTCGAACTGAAAAATGAAAACGCCCTCATGAAAAGCCCTAGAGGCTTCACGTACATGTACTTGAAGCATCAGCAAGCAACAGATTTCATGGTCTTGCCACCATTTCCATCTTGAGGCGGTAGCAACAAACTATGAATATTTCTTCCATCTGTACAGGCATTTTGTAGCTACCGGAGCCATGAATGTCAAAGGAAGGGGAAATCCAGGGGTGGAGGACTTGACCCTGTGGAAAAAAACCTGACACAGAGGGAAACAAAAATCACCACTTTGCTTGAAAATACCCTCAGAATTCCCCCTCCGACTGTTAATGGTTTAACACCTTGCTGGTGAGCACTTCACCCCTCTCTAGAAATTTACCCCTCCCCCCGGACAAAATCTTGGCGACGCCCACGAATGAAGCTGTGACAAGTATGCAGGGGTCATGCTGTTTGCCCCAAACCATCAACTGTAACGTATTTTCGAAGAAGAACTAGCGACTATAGCAGGGTGTCATCTTTGTTTGACATTGTGTTGGATCTTGTTTGTATAGACAATTTAAATATGTGTCTGTATTTTGGGGTTTAATTTTCTTTTCTATTACGCAAAGTGCAGACATTTATCTAAAGATTCATGTCATCCTGTCAGAGCATATGGAGGGTTTGCATGGCTGCCATCTTGCAGGCCAGTGCTTTTGTTCCACAGGGTATGCGCAAAGGAAAAAGTTGACGGTTTTGGCTGACCCGTCTCAGAAAAATGGGTGTTGCAGGAGAACAGTATTCCAATACAGTTGGAGTCAAAACGATTGTAAGATGTTTAAGAAAAACTGCCGAGGGCTTTGCTTCAACAAACAATGCATTGTGATGATATCGAAGAAAGGTCGTGGGGGGCAGATTTTGCTCTGTTGGGTAAAAAGAAACATGAGTACAGTAGATCCTCATGAATAAGACGTCCTTTGGACTTTGCAGATTCACTGGCTATACAGTGACCCCCATCTACAGGATTTAAAACGAGGAACAAAGGATTTGGAATTTAAACATTCCTTGTTATACAATGTTTCATTAACAAAGCTCTCATTAACAAGGTTAAACTGTATATTGACATTTAAATTTGCAGGTCGTTGAAGGTTTGCGAATATTTGGTATGACAACAGAACACAAAGCCCTACATAAACCACAATTAACTTTGCTCATTGGGGTAAGCTTTACCAACATACTTTATTCAATAAATATTACTATATCATTGGTAATTCATTCCACATTTGACATGTACCTATGTACAGCGGCACTGAAATTTACTGTTAGCCAATTCGCATAGTTACCAACGCTGCTCCAGTACCACACTCATATACACACTGTACATTCTTCAACTTGGTTTGTAATGCGATGAATCTAAAAAGCAACTCTCACTAAAACATGTTTTCTCAGCACAACATGCTTTGTGCAATTGTTTGGCATGCACAACGGTTGATTCACTATGAACGTAGAGTGGGAGTTAACCCTCGTTTTCTCAGAATGACGCAATCTACATTCGGATCTTGGCATGAACTGTAAAAAAGCCCTTTTAAGCTTGTTATAGTTGAGCTCTGAAGACAAATGACACTGCATTCAATTTGGTTGCTTCCATATTAATTTGAACAGATAAAAATCAGAGAAAATATGGTTCCTTATAGGTGCTTTTTAGAGTGTGCCTATATCCTGTGCATGAGCGTGGTACTACCATTGGTCAACTTGAAGAGAAACTTTGAATTCTTTTTCTAAAAAATCCTTTTCACCTCTAGAAATAGAGTAGATCTGACTTCAGCTTTCAAAGTGTATGTACAACAAAGTACTCATTAAAAAGAAAGTTCTTGAACTCTACCAATAGTCAGTTTTCTTAGGCAGTCCTCAGCATCCCCCAATCCCCTGCATCTGACTGAACCAGCCAGCGGACACCGGCAAGCTCGGTGGTTGAGTGGTTAAGACGTCTGCACTAGTAAGCAGGAAGTCGTGGATTTGAGTCCCACCCGAGTACGTTTTTTTTTTCACAAGCCTTCGGGGCAAACACTGAGTATACAGTGTTCTAATACACGTCGAGCAGGGCAAAAAATCCAAAAGTTAATTTAGTTACATGCATCGCAGTGCCTTGTCCATCTCCGGTGCTCTTTATGCCAGTTATCTAGTTGCCATGGTTTCCAGCACCAGCAACAACCTCGTCCTTGAGTCTGACATCCTTCCCAGCTTTCTGTTCCCTGTCCCGTAGCGTTTTCAGAATCGGAATCTGAGCAAACTTCTCCGAGTCGAGTTTGGACCACACGATGCCCGACGGTTTGGGTCTGTCGCGGTCGCAACGAATTGTCTGCGTGGGCGTGAGGATATAGTCCACAGTGAGGTCATGTGACCCAATCAGGTGGTCTGGTATGTCGTCCATCACCTGACAGTCGTGGACAGTTGTCACGACGGTCGTATGCTGATCCACGGCACCCATGGTGGACATCATGGCGAACTCCATGTCGGCGTAACCTTCCCCTTTGCCGATCCGATAACCTTGTTCCAAAAAAATTAAAAACCTCAAACCATCCTCATATAAAAACAATACATGCCATGGTTGTTCACTTATCTCATAATCAGACAATGCCTTGAGTTCCTTTTATCTGATTGGTGTCTTCTTGATTGTGTGCTACCGTAGCAGTGACTTGTTCAAACGTGCAGTGTAACTGCAAATACCTGGATTAATTCTAATTCGCGTCATCTGGTTGGTGGATTATTGATCACATGACATTAAATTATTTGTTCTATTCAATGGCATCCCTTGAATAGAACTTCATGTCACTTGACTGGTTCCTGCCCCCATTTCATGTATTAAAGAATGAGGGAAATGATAGGGTTGGGAACCAGCCTAACACAGTACTACCAGTGGGTGGCGTTTCACAAAATGGTGGACGTTAATACCCAAGGACCGTTTGCTCTCCCCACAGAAGAGGAACTATCAGAAGACAATGGATGATGAAGATTCATGCAGGTACCGTATACGGCAAATAATGAATGTTCCCATTCATGCAATGGTAAAATGTTCCATTTCACGGGGCAAAGCTGAGTGGAATGGAACATTTCATCTGCATCTTACTTCTTACCAATGCACTCATAAATATTCATTATTTGTATGTTAATTCATGGTAAAAAGAGGGTTCCAATGCACAATCAAACGAGAAGAAGTATTTCTCTAGCCAAGCTTGGGTAATAAGAACGAATAATACTGAGATGTTTCGAGGGTAACAGAGAGCAGTGTTGCATCCGAGTCCATACAAGTCCCTGTAAGTCCATGACAAGTCCAGCACAAGTAGGGCTGTGCTGAATATCCGAATAACCAAATATTCAATTGATAGTCACATATTTGAATATTATTTTTCGAATATGAAAATTCAAATGCAAAATTTATGAAAAAGGGAAAATTAAATTTTGTTTTCTATGAGAAAAATTGCACTATGGAGGCTTGCTTCAAGCAGATTCAGATAAAAAAGCGTCAGAAATCTTACCGTTGATTTAAAAAAGTAAATTATTCATTAAAAGGAAAAGAAATTTTCAGCAGAGCAAGAAGTCTTGTTCATCTCTTAAATCTTGCTAAATCGTGGCTGAAAGGACTTGTGATGGCCTTGCATACAACACTGACAGAGAGGAAATTATTTTAATAATTTTTCCATGTTGCTTACCTTTTCTGCTGACGGCTACCGATCCAATGATGATAATATCCACTGTCATGTGACTGTCCAGGCCAATCGGCAAGCTGAACTCTCTGACACCCTGGTAAAAACACAGACTCGTTCAAATATTTCATTCCTGCAATGCAAGCATTTAACGTACGACAACTTTTCACGCAAAACCTTACAGACAAGAGTGAAAAATGAGCTCATAGCAACAGATATATTTTTTACAATTATACAGACGAAAGGCTACCAACAAAATGGCAGTGGATACTTAGAAATGATTTCACAACTGTGACGAAAAAACAGTCTTTAAGTGAACTTGCCGACTTCAGTTTACTTCTTGAGAGGGGAGTCAGATTGTGGTGGTTATTTCCTCGCCTTTCACCTCTGGGACCTGGGTGTGAATCCCACCTAGGTCAGCAGGTGGATTGGGCTTCAGTCCCTGCCTGATTCTGTGGGTTTTCCCTGGAATATTCGTCCAGGGTTTTCCTCTCACCTCTAAAACTTTACGTTTCTGCGTTGTCTGCTTAATTACCACTTTATCCTGTAATTGACACTAAATGTGCGGTTGAACAGGTAAAAATACATCAATAAAATAAATATCAGTACAGATTTAGCATAAAAACAAACTAGCATACTTTAAAAAAAGTGACAGACTGAGAAGTACAAGTAGATTGGAACAAAGTAATTCAATGACACGTGATTTGACAACCAACCAATCAAATGATGGGGTTTTTTTTTTCAAGCACTGAATAAAACCATTGTACAAATCTGTGATGCAGGAGTAACAGGCCTTTACCATCTCAAAGAAACACATCTTGAGGAATAACTTTCAAGGCTCATAATTACCCGTGACGTGGAACACTTTCTTAAGTCATCTTTGCTCGGGTTGGATGGTGGTACGATTCGGTTGAATAAACCAGTGCGGAGGCGCGGAGTTGGCACAAGCAATGTTTTGCGAGCCTGATTGTCAAAAGGAAACTCAACTTCAGTCTTCCGAGGCTAATAAATGTATCTTTTCAGGGCATGTCACTGTCATCATATAACTGTCATTGCCATTACATGAATAACATTGTCAAATATATTTTCAGATGTAGCTTGAGTAGTTAAGAAAAAGTCATGGTCATCTTTGATGCCACTGTCATTATATACATATGGTTGATGTTATTTCTTTAATAANAGCTGATGGCAATCACTTTCACGATCTTACTCATCATGACAATCATTACGTGGTCAACAACAAACTTATCACCAGCAGGATCAATTATCATTATTACTATCCGATCAGCACACCATATTATTGTAATCACCGCGACATACTCACCTCATCATCACATCAACCCTATTACCATATCATCCAATCAATCTACACACAATCACCATGTTAATCCCAGTCACCACACTACTCCCATCACCATTGTCAAATCACCAACATCACCACATCAGTCCTGACACTACATCAGTCAATCTACCCAATCACCACATTACTCCCATCAACATCATCTAGATCACCCAGATCACCACATCACACTAACCAGTGCCTCCACATCTCCCATGATCACATCACCCAATTATCACTACACTACTTGTATCAGGTGTCACCCAATCAACACAGTATCCCTATCAAATAACCACTCACCACATTAGTCCTCTCACTGCATCACTCCAAATCCAATCTCACCATCACCACGATGTATTGCCAAGTCCTGTACCCTTCCCCCCCTTACCATATTTACAAAGACCGTACCGGAGTCAACGCCTGACATATTCTGCCTACCTCAAGGGTGAGAAACCTGGCGTGCTCCTGGGGCTTGTCAGGGTTCACCTTGACGGTTCTCGCTCCCTGAAAAGCTTCAAGGTCCTTGAGCCTTTCATTGGCTGCTGCAGCTCCCTGTTAGCAACAACCACAGAATTTTCTACTTTAATTCCAACTCTCCATGTTACTTTGGCAAGAAACCCTGCCAGACACGTCAATCTACATCATCTGCCAGCCCAGTGTAACAAGATCCAACAAGTCAACTCTCCCCAAGGCCAAACGGCCTGGGAGTCTGTGGTTGCCAGTCACCACAAGGTCCAACAGGTCAACTCTCCCCAAGGCCAAACAGCCTTGGAGTCTGTTGTTACCAGTCACTACAAGATCCAACAGGTCAACTCTCCCCAAGACCAAACGGCCTGGGAATGTGTGGTTACCAGTCACCACAAGATCCAACAGGTCAACTCTCCCCAAGGCCAAACGGCCTGGGAGTCTGTGGTTACCAGTCACCACAAGATCCGACAGGNTGCTGATGGCAATCACTTTCACGATCTTACTCATCATGACAATCATTACGTGGTCAACAACAAACTTATCACCACCAGGATCAATTATCATTATTACTATCCGATCAGCACACCATATTATGGCAATCACCGCGACATACTCACCTCATCATCACATCAACCCTATTACCATATCATCCCATCAATCTACACACAATCACCATGTCAATCCCAGTCAGTCAATCCCAGTATTCCCATCACGATTGTCACAATCACCAACATCCCCACATCAGTCCTGACACTATATCAGCCAATCTACCCAATCACCACATTACTCCCATCACAATCATCAAGATCACCCAGATCACCACATCACACTAACCAGTGCCTCCACATCTCTCATGATCACACCACCCAATTATCACTACACTACTTGTATCAGGTGTCACCCAATCACCACAGTATCCCCATCAAATAACCACTCACCACATCAGTCCTCTCACTGCATCACTCCAAATCCTATCTCACCATCACCACGATGTATTGCCAAGTCCTGTACCCTTCCCCCCCTTACCATATTTACAAAGACCGTACCGGAGTCAACGCCTGACATATTCTGCCTACCTCAAGGGTGAGAAACCTGGCGTGCTCCTGGGGCTTGTCAGGGTTCACCTTGACGGTTCTCGCTCCCTGAAAAGCTTCAAGGTCCTTGAGCCTCTCATTGGCAGCTGCAGCTCCCTGTTAGCAACAACCACAGAATTTTCTACTTTAATTCCAACTCTCCATGTTACTTTGGCAAGAAACCCTGCCAGACACGTCAATCTACATCATCTGCCAGCCCAGTGTAACAAGATCCAACAAGTCAACTCTCCCCAAGACCAAACGGCCTTGGAGTCTGTGGTTGCCAGTCACCACAAGATCCAACAGGTCAACTCTCCCCAAGGCCAAACGGCCTGGGAGTCTGTGGTTGCCAGTCACCACAAGATCCAACAGTGGCAATGTTCAATGGGGCTACTGTACCTCCCATTGTCTCAATACGGCCAGTTTGTTTGGCTGCTGTTGAGTGCCCAGTGCATCAAACTTCTTCGCCCGATGCACCGTGCAGGTGTGTCATACATAGTGTGGACCTCTACACAAAAGAAGTCCACATAATGCAGGGTACGATGGCGTCGTGTGGACTCGCACATGTCCACATAATATTTTCCCCTCTTTGAAGAGTGCTTCTCCTGAAGGCCGATAACGCCCCCTCTAATAAAAAGAGTAAATTCAAATGTGTTGCAACAAAAACAGTTTTCTTAATATTGAAACAACCTTGAAATTTGGGATCCGATGGTGGACAGGTCTTGGAAAACAAGCAATGTTCTTTTCCTCGAGAAAGTTCCAAACTTTCTGTCTGATCGATGCTTTCGTAATATCTGTGTGTTGAGAGGAAAACCACAAACAGAATAAACTGGTTTAGAAATTACAAAAGGCCAAACATCATTTTCTTCACAACACGACAGTGAATATTTGGCATCGATATCCTTTGCTTTTTTGCCGGCATGGCAACAAAACACGAGCAGTGACTGTTTAGGGTAACTCAGAAAATTTAGGATGAAAAATTTTCATCTGTTTCTAAACTTACAGGTACATGTAAATGACTATTGTGGATTCGTATTCACAAGATGGAATTCAGACCTAGACATAGATCGGACTTAATTTCCATAGAAAAAAAATCCAGTGCGTCCAAAGCCATAAACCATGAAAAAAAGTGCAGTAGGCTTATCTTTCAATTTAAGAAACCGAACGTACATGCACAGGTAAGATTTATTTTAAGGAAGTCTAGGCTATAAATTTTCACAGCGAAAATGGTCAAACCGACATGTGGAGTGCTGAACAAGCCTGGCCAATGGCCTGACGCATGTGATAAGCACAAACGGTGTGATCGTTGTCAGGTGGAAATGAGAGATTAGTGGGTAAAAACGTCAGATTTAAAAGAAAAAAACACCTGGTCTCATGGCCTACACCTACCATGCAACCGTTTTCAAGGTTGTAAAAGTGGACTTTGCGTGAAATTCCATCACCGATCATTTACCTCAATCCCGGTAGGGACTCACATAAATGAGTGAGGGCGCTGTTCATTTGGGAACTCATTTTCTTTTATAAAAATAAGAGAATGTAATTAAAATTTTGTCTTTTTCCGCACGCTCTACGTCCTAGATGTCATTTCCAATTTCCAAATTGTTGAAATTTTAGTGAAGCAAGCACTAAATTCATTGAAAAAAAGCATGGAAATGAGAATTTTAGGCTTTCCAGTCAAAATCCACACTCATTTTGGAGTACAAGAAATTACAGTTTATTCTGCATTTAGGCCTACACCCAAAAACTTCTCAAAATATCCCTGCTTCGAAACGAAATATTTCTTTGCTTTGCAGGGTCCGATGGAATCCAAACTTACTGGTACATCAGAATGTTTCGTATGACCTCTCCAAGATCACTTCAATTTTTTCATGATTCGTTCAATAGGAAAAAAAATAAGCCTAGACCCGTAAACAAGGCTCTACGTACATGGATACATGTACATGCATGTACATGTATGTACTCCTTCATCTATATACTGGGCCCCGTGCCAATTGATAGTGATTTCTTTCGATCAAGTTACTGGGATGTCCGGGGATATTATCAGACATCCGCTGGATCTTATGACTTGGCCTTGCACAGGTACATGTATGTTCACTACTTACGCTGCCAACTATCCCCCGGGTTGCTACATGTATTTGCAGAAAACTCACCTTTTCTTCATTGGGAGGAAATAATTTTACCTTCGGTTGGCGTTTTCCCCACTTTGGACGAATTTTGGCCCGACTTGCACATTACACAGACTCCTTTGTATGGTTAACTGATGGTAGCCTGTACAGAGAGCCTGTCTAGTTCATGCAACCAGACTTCAGCACATACGAATTTTGTTCAGATCTGCAAGAGTAGCTGTTTGAACCAAGTAGTTGTGGAAAATTACGGCTGTTTTGTGTTGCAGCTAATGCGCAACACTTAATTTCCATAGAAAAAAAAATCCAGTGCGTCCAAAGCCATAAACCATGAAAAAAAGTGCAGTAGGCTTATCTTTCAATTTAAGAAACCGAACGTACATGCACAGGTAAGATTTATTTTAAGGAAGTCTAGACTATAATTACGGCTGTTTTGTGTTGCAGCTGATGCGCAACACCACCTTCAGCTGGTTCCCTGTCTAGTCAAATACCACTGGCGGCAAATCGCTGAACTTGAAGCGCAGCTTGCTCTCTGTGACGTGATACGGAACAGCCATCAGTTTTGTGCAAGTCAGGCCAAAATTCGTCCAGAGTGGGGAAACGCCAACAGCAGGCAACATGTTTTCCTCCAAATGACATGCACAAGGACAAGGCATATTTTCTGCAAATAGCAATCTGGGGGATAGTTAGCCCCACAATTACAAGTAGCCACAGCATTAGGGGGCGCTCTTCATGGATGGGTGTGTTTTTCATTTATAATGCATTCCATCCACGAACTGCCTATCCAGTAATGTGCTCGAGTCTTCAGGTTTATAAAAAAAAAAAAATCATTCGGTTCAGGGCCCAGTGTACCGACAAAGGAGTATACAAAGGGCCCTGTTTACAGGTCTAGCCTACATGACCTAAGCCTAGCTGAAAATTTATGAACATGATGAATGAGCCTCCTAACACATGTAACACTAACAAAAAGTAACAGACCTACATGTATGTTGAGACAATGTAAGATGGCGTGTGCTGACAATTGACATCGGGTTGGCCATTTTTTTCCTAGAGTTTTCAGTTCCTTTCTTGTTTGGTTACTTACAATTTACATTAAATCAGTCTCTACTCACCCATTTGGATTACATCTTTATAAACATCAAAGACAGGCTAAAATTGGAACATCTGTGCAAATACCACCCAGCACTGATGAGCGCTGACATGTTGATTTTAAACCAGTACCCGGCGCATGTCGTGCTTTATAATTATCGCAGAGTTGGGACCAGTGAAATTGAGATAGGTGACAAAAACCACTAGAGGGCGCCGCGCCGGTGCGCGCCGGTCATTCATTGTTCATACCGCAAATAAGCCGCAACAGTGATTTAGAAAATCGATCGCTTCACTGCATTCCAAAATAGAGCAATTTTGAGGGCCCCGTTTGGTCTGATACTCGGTTAGAAAAAAAACAAGCCGGCAGTCCTGCTCCTAGATTTCATTCTCCTTCTGAACAAGTCCATGAGCCACGAAATGTTTTAATAGCAGAGACTTTCACAGCCTACAAATCTTGATTCGGTTCGCGGAGGCCATTTTGGACCTATTTACTGGCATAAACCACCAGACTGCATTCAAACATGAATATTTCAAAATTATCACCCTAGGTATTCTCGTGGCCTGACATCCAGGAACTTTTGCACATGATTGAACATGAATAGCACGAAGGGTAAGAGAAGGGGGAATTTACGCGCAGTCGCGCAGACACAAATTCCTGAAAGTGTCTACCAAAACATTATTGATTGTAAAATATACGTATTTATTGTTGAGGAACACTAACAAGAAAAAACAAACAAACAATTGAAAAATAAAAACCAGTTATCTGGGAGAAAATTGCAGTATTTGCAAAATGTCTGTCAAGAGGTGTAAAGTTAAAGAGACAATGTCACAATTAAGTGAAATATCAAATTAAAAAACAAAATCAAGAACACTTCATAGTATTTTTAAAAATAAAGAAAACAAAATGGATTATAACTGTTTTATTGAACAAGACCGTGGCATGAAGATACATGTATCTGCGGTACCAGCAGATTTTGTTTGGAATTTCAGCATTCGTTTTGAGATTTTTATGATTTAGTTTACACTGTGACAAATTGAAATTGACCGCAAAGAGTTACTCCAGAAGGTTCAACTCTTGAAAAAGAATGCACTGCGGCGAAATTGAAAAAAAATGAGATCGACTCTTTCACCCTGTAAATACATTGTCACGCTTCATTGATGCAGAGTATTAGAATTTTTATCACATAAATCAATTGAGTGTATAAATGAGTGGGGCTGCTAACATGACAACCTTCAAGTTCTCCCAAGCAGAACATGTGTTTGCTTTCGTTGTTTTTTCTTCTTTTTAATTTTTTTTTCTGGCAAACGTTTTTGAGTTTCCAGTGCACGTGTAGAGTTTCACCTCAGATTAAAATCTATGTAGGCCTGCATGCTTGCCCTTTTCAGGAAATGAATCGAAAACTGCCCGTCCCGGTAAAATGAAACCGAATGCTTTATATTGACAAATAATGACAAATTAACACTCAGAAACATTTCCTTGTGTAATTCATACAGGGTCAGTTTTATGAAACACTATTCATCAATATTCTAAAATGTTCTCTGACAGCAAGGCAGTGCTCAGGAATTTCCTGGTGCCTGCATAGAGGGATCCCAATACGGCGCTTCTAGCGTCGATTTGCGAACTTCCGCGTCTGAAAACGAGGCTGTCTGTGTCAGCTTCAATTCTTAATATGATTAGATGATTGAAAGTAAGGAGTCAAGACACAAAATACATAAAGGTATGTTAAATTCAGACTTCTTAGGCCGCAAAATTTTGTGAAAAAGTCTTTCAGGATGACTCGACACGTAAAATCAAAAGAAAAAATAACGGCAGTTTACCGCGAACTAACATACCTGCGATGGTCGTGTAACTTTATGTGCAGTGGGCGTGGTTTAAACTGAAGTGGTGTCACACTTGCGAACCTGGATACTTCATGTTCTCTGTCGAATTCGCGGAGGCGTGCGACGAAGTTCAGCACAGAGAGCCTCGGTTTCAATTCGGATATGTGCAGACGGCGCTAATGTGAAATCCCTCTATCACAATCGCTGAACAGTTGTGCAGTCAGTAGTGGAGCGTACCTGGGGCCCGCCTTCGATGCGTACGGCGCAAGCGCAGAAATGAAGATAAATTCTCATGGCATTCTACACTCTGACTGATATTCCAAGGATAGTGAATTATGTTTTGATTTCACTCAGCTGGTACTTATTTCTTTGAAAATGTTCGTCATACTGAAACCAGGAAAAGTTGCCAAATTCTTCGAGGCTCAAGTTAAATGGAAACCCTGGCCTGGCTTTGTTCGAATCGAGGAAGTTGAGCCGCAGTTAAGAATTTTTATCGTTTGTTATTTTAGTACAAGGTTCAGGGATCAGTTCTTCTGCAGTTGCATGATTTCTAGAGTTTTCAGTGGATGAACTTACAAACAGCCAAAAACAGCTCACAGCCTCCCCCCCCAAAAAAACCACTTCAAACAATATGTTGCAGATGAGTGCTTTGCCCTCCCCCGTCATTGTACCCCCTCGGAAAATGTCTGGCAACGCCCACGCAAAGAACCCTTGCTCGTGATTTTGTGACGACACATCAAATAATTTGCCATTCAAAGTCGCAAGGTTAAGAGTAGAACATTCAACTCAGGTGCTAGCTCACGTCAATATTCGCTTTGATTTTCCATTGGTGATAAGTGTGAACCTACCTTTAGTCTAAAGAAACAGCACTTGTATCTTCTTAACCATCCTGATAAAACCATTCAAATATAACTTGAAGTGAAAAGTTGAAGAATGTAACTAAGTCTTCTTTCACATTTTGGGACAGAAAACGGTATGCAGTTAAATTAGACACCCTGACCCCGCGAAATTGTGTTACAAAACTGGTTTAATTTCGCAAATGGGGCAAAATCACTGTCAGAGATGTTTTACCAACTGGGACAGCTTCAATTGTTTTTCATTAGTGGAAACCGATGATAATTATACACAATAAATATTACCTCATATTAATCTGCTTATTATAAGCGAAAGTGGGGAAGATTGCGCTTCCGTAGGCCTAATCCGAAAACGAAAGGAGAGATGTTTGGATGAATAAGCGGAAGTTGAAAACTCACTTTCCTCTGAACACTTTCGGTTGTCATAATTCACAGTTATAAAAAGGTAACATACTTTCATTTTTGTGCATCTGCGTCGTCCTGGCTAAGCAGTACCCAAAATGAACAAGTTAGCTTCCCTGTTTGTGATATCAGCATGCTTTGGTAAGTGTTGTCTTCTCGATAATGTTTGCGAAATCCATTGATTTGGTATATCTGTCGGTCACTCTTTTAGATCAGCAAGTCACTCGTTTTGTCTGTCACTACACGTCATTGTGATGGTCAAGTAACCTAATAGGCCTTCTGCAAAGTTAAATTTGCATAAAATCCCCTACACCAAGTTAATTAATTGCATATAAACATAACAATTTGAATTCCCCAGACTAAAGACATTGTTGCTATACGTTGCAATTTGCGGCGAGCTTTTGCATAGCGACCACCATCTCTTGAATAGACTGGTTTCTTTGTGCCCAATGGCATTAATTGTGTATACTAAATATCGACAAGCACGGCGTCCACTAAGTGTTTCATGCGCACCATTTACCAAAAAAGCCAATGGTAGATACCGTACTCAGACTACTTATGTGCTGGATACTGTATCGTGACTTAATGTTTTAAAAAACTTAAAAAAAACACGTTGCTATGGGTTTGAAACCCACTACAGGTCACGTGATTTAGTGGGCGCGATTGGTCTATTCAGTTGTTATGTTTACGTGGATTTAAAAGTATACCAGATTTAACTCGCGAAAGGCTTATTGGTCCCTCACCGAGTCACCGTAGTTACTCGCTCGCCCAACCACCGCGTCACGTATATCGCTCAACCCTGCAGTTGCTCAGTTACTCAGTTCCTTAACCACTCATTAGGTTTGCCATTGAGTCACACAATCAGTCACTCAGTTAGTGTGAGTCCTCTAGTTTATACTTTACCAGGGAGTGCCCTATTTTGGTTGTATTAAGTTTCCCTAAGAAGAGCTGTTGTCGATATCGATAGGCTTCAAACCCAGTCTGTTAGAGTTGGTTTTATGAACTATAAGGGGCGCAGTAAAAAGTCATATGTAAAACAAATTTCTCATTTCCTTCAGAAACATTTTAGACAGGCAATCCCTAGAAATTACACATGAAATTGAGCAGAAGGAAATTTCCTAAGTAAAATTGCGCATTCAAATGAGATTCAATGATTTCAAAAGATTATAAGTTATTTTCAAAAGTAAAACGATAATTAATCAATGTTTTCTCGAATACAACCTCAATTTGTGTTTGTCAAAATAATTCTTTACTTACACCAGGCACGTTTTGAATGCAAATGTGGTTTTCTTTCATCTAAACGCGGTAAATTGTGTCAAACAATTACTCGTAACTTATCAATAATTGTGGTCATCAAACTCAGTGAACCACCTCTATGAACGCTCAGTAATAAGTCAACCCTTAATAGCTCTTTTACTAATAAATAAATAGATATGCACGCATGCGTATGAATGGGCATAGAGGGCAAAAGCGCGTCCCGCCTGAGGTAAATGTAAGAATATACAAGGGCAAAATGTCCATGTCATTTTGTTTTCAAAGTCTCTGGGATGTTTTACTTTTATTTTCTGAACACCTTCCAAGTACCCCTATTTTCAATGGGTCAGTCCTGAGCTTTTTGTAGAGAGAGTTGCGACATGAGTGTCTCAATTATTGGAACCATAATGGCGGATTGTGCGTCAGTGCACATTGACAATTAGCACACAATAGCTGCTTGCTGTGCACACATAGTGAAAAGCCATTTGGGTTCCAAAATCTGATTTGTGATTCCCACGCGATATACAGCTCTGCCCAGTCAGGCTTTGTGATGTGCCGCCAGGCCCAATTATGCGCATGCGTGCATAAGTATGCATTATTTTATCAGCGGATAGGTCCATTGTTTTGTTTTCTTTTCCTCAGCTACAGCCCACGCCCTCGGGTGCTATTTGTGTTCTTATGACAGTGTGCCAGGCAGATCACTAATTTCAGAGGAGTGGTGCAATGACCCCTTCAACGTGTCCGACGTCTCCGGATTTTGTGCCGTGTCCAGTGCAGGCTCCATTCCTGCAGACTGTGTGGTAAGACCAACTAGCGTTAATTTCAGCTCAGATATTCTGCTGTGGCAGAAGGCTAATTCTTTGAAGCGCAGCTTCGTCCGGGCGGGAGGGCACAGGAGCGTGTACCGCCCCACCCTCTTGACATGTTGAAGAGTACGTATGGCCTCTATGCAAGCCAAGATTAATTTCAGCCAGATTTTCTGTGCTCCTAAAACATATTTATTGTGCTCACCCCAAGGGGGCCCGCCCCCTCGGAAATTTCACCCCAGTTAACCACGTAGCGAATGACCTGGAGTGTTTGCCCCATCCGGTCCCATCCATGAGAATGGAAATGCCAAGTGGCAATGCAGAATATTCCGTCCACGGCGGTGGAATAATTTCCAAAAGGGAAGGGGCACTTGTGGGACCATTGCAGGCTCCTTACTTCTGTTGCCAGTGAGTCTCGCACTGATCGTTGTTACCACAGTCTCTTTGGAGTGGACACAAATGCAACCTACTGGGGTTAAACATCAAATCAGGGGCGTGTTCTAAGGAGACATGAACCATGTCCACTGACAGTATCGTCTGCTTCCTTAATTGTGCTTGTTTCTGTCAGATGACGTAATCGTTTCTGATTCTTCGTTTTTGCGGGCCACCCCTTAACGTGTTGCTGGTTAGTGTTTTGAAGTCACAACCATGTTTCTGGTTAAGGGTCGCCAAAACACGCGTTCAGATTGTCTCACTGAACAGCAAGAGCCCCCCGTGTCAAGTGATGGCATTTCACGCCTCTAGGCGGATAGATTGGTTTCCACCCCGTACGTATAGTCTCCAGACGTCTTACAGACGTCCTCCGAAAGTAGGGCCCAGTAGCGGGTATTGAATCCAGCTGAATCCTGCCGGGTGTATGCAAATGAGGGAACGATGCCTGCACCAATGAACAAATCAAGCAGGAGCCGATAGCATTTTGGTTTTTCTTCTTCGTTGCCAAAAAAACCTCCCACAAATAGTTTATTAATCTAAAATTCAACACAATAACCACTGATTTAAAATGAATTGCCATAAGATGATTTATTGATGATAACCATTCAAAAATAAATTACCACACTGTGATCAACAGAGGCTTAGCAAGGATAAGTAGGCCTACTTGTGTTTCATTAGCCTTGACGCTGAAACGTATTTCATGTTATAACCGTGCGGCTGCCTGACAAGAACTTTTATATTCAGCATCCAAATTGACGGGGCTAACTGTACACGTTAAACCGCAGCTAGTTACCGGTCCCCATATAATACGGACGGGGACCAGTCTACTAGACTGGATCCCTGCTGTATCAATAATAACGCTCAGTAAGGTGACGGCGTCGTTTCTAGAATGCCCCTTTCATAAATTTCCCTCTCATGGCTTGATTAATAATTATAATAATTATCATTCAAGAGCTAAAAGATTGCATAAGTGGTTTGTCATACACTTTTTGTGGGTCTGGAAAGCCCATGCATGGAATAGCCATTGCCTTATGTTTGTATATACATGTATGTGACGTCAGCATAACACAATAGGGTTTTCTCTGAATCTTCCCAATTATGTAGAAAGAAATTCACTACGCTGATGAAAGGAAAAAAATAGTGAAAATCAGCCGGTTCTGCGCCCTTGATTATGAAAGGAAGCGGTGCACGGAATCGTTTTGTTACTCAACTTGTAACACCGACTTCTGCAACATCGCCGGTGCAATGACCTCTGGGCGGATGGTGACATCGGCGGCAGTCATGGTGGTCACTACTTCGATCGCACTCTATTAGCTGTTCGAAAGTTGAATATCTTAAATGGCTTGCAATTTTGGCCACTGAATTTCGCAATAGCTTGAAGTGTGGTACATTACAAATCCGTTTAAAATTTAGACTTTGAGACGTTGGTGGCAGCAGACATACCGGTCTATCTCGTGCTCAGAATCACCCATGCTCAGAGCAACGCACGCGCGTTCAGAACTCCTAAATACACATAGGTATCATAATAGAAATGTATAGAGTACCGAAGTGTGACGTCAGTGTGAACCAGAAAGTGCAGTGCAAACGAATAGAGCGCGCGCGCGTTGGTTCACGCGCTAGTTCTCGCGCTCATGCCTTCCACACACTAATTGTGCGCGTGACGTATTCAATTCGGATCTTCTATTCCTTTAATTTAAATTACACAAACCTGGCCACAGAACAGGGCGACATGTTCTATTATGCTGTCAGATTATGCAGGCGTTACGCGCTCACGCGGTTCTGTTCATAGTCTTCTACGCTCACGAACCTTTTTTTTAAAATTTTTCTGACGTCCTCAATACGGGTGATTTACAATAGTGAGCCTCCAAGAGGTTGAAACGCGTTGGCCAATCACGACGCACGAACTCTGTCGACCCAATGCGCGGTTTGAAAAGGTGGACACACTTTGCGCGTTGTGATTGGCCAACGCGTTTCAAACTCTTGGAGGCGCACTATTGTGACTCGCTCGTATTCAAATGCACATCACGTCTCCCCGTATATATCTCTTGAGTACAGAAGTGAATACGTCACACGCAGAGTTATGTCTGTAAAAGGCATTAGCGCGTGAATCAACACGTGCGCGTAACCCCAATCGCTTACAATGCGCTTTCTGACTCAAAGTGACGTCACACGGTACTGGTGCGCCTCACTAATGCACTTGTGCGCGTTTCACACACGCATAGGGTTCCGCGAGGTTCCAAGCTGTTCGTGCGTTATCAGACATTTTTACTTGGCCAGTGTCAAGTAAAAAAAATATAAAACGACCAGCATGTTTGTTGCCACCAAGCGTCTCCCAAAGTCTCCCATTAAGTTTGCCCTGAAGCCAATGAGGTTTTGAAAACTATCCGTTGAGAAGACTAACTCTTCATATCCGTGGTATCAAAAGAAGCAAAACTGCATGGAGCCCGTGATCTTCAAGATTTAGGGCCGAATCAAAGCCGAAGCCCTGTTTTTCAGAAATACTCGGAAAAGTGTCAGTCAGAGACATTATTTTGTTGTAAAAGTACTGGAAACAAAGTTGTCGGTGTTTTGTCCTATTTCGGTTTTTTTCTCTGTATTATGAAGTGGAGTTACTTCTGAAGCAAGCATTTACAAAAATTCTACGTGGAATATGCGTCAATGTATACAATTTGATAATCAAAAAGTCCTGTTTAGTATTGTTTGAAAATATTTTAGAAGGAATTAAAACAGCATTTTCCTGATAATTGCGTGTGGTGGTGGACCATCATTTCTGTAGGACCAATCTGCATTAGCCTGAGTTGGCACAAACGACCACTATTCTATAGCTGGAAAAACGTATCGTGTGTTCCACAACCAGAATAAGAAGTCATTGCTGCAGTGGCAGACACTTGCAGACGGGCGGTACGCGCGCGTTAAATACCTCTTTGACCAATAGGGTGTCTTGATTTGCACGATGCACGTGCGCGTCAAACTGATGCGTGTGCGTGTGAATGCAGTGCCACCGCAGTTGTGGCGCCTAACCAGATTAGTTTATCCGCTCCGAGCGGAACAAAAGAGGGCGTGCTTTTTTGGTACACACCACATAGGCGAGGTATGAAACGCGCAGGTATATGCGCATTCGGCGCAGAGCACACTGAGTACGCGTAACTAACTTACTTCGTCTTTGCGTACACGCAGAACGCGTGCAAGAACCCGCTTGTAACCACCTGTCTTTCTTTTGCCAATTGGGGGTGCACTTACAGCTCGGAGTGGATAATATTACAATGCAGTATTGTTTGGCAAATCTTCTCGAAAGACAAAAAGACGTGTATGAAGTTTAGCACATTCCAGAGAATTCACTTCTCTGTGCTCAGACTAGAATTGCCATCTATTACGAGACCAAAAATGAGCCTTGTCTGTCTACAGACCCTTGACAGTGCATCTTCCTCTAGCAGAAGCACGCCCTCATCGGTTGAAAAGAGCGGCGTTGGTTGGGAGTGTTCGATTTGTTGGTACTAGTGATGCGACAGCGGCGAGTGCATTTCCTAGTTGTTCGGGAACCAGCGAAGTTCAGTTTCCACCAAAAGAACCCCTGCTGCTAAGAAAAAAGCTCCATCTCTTGGTCCAGCTCGATACCCATAATTTGTTAGCTGCAAAGCTAACGTTCAAGGCGTTAAAACACAAGTCACAAGGGCAGTTTCACGAGCAGTTCACGTGGAAGAGTGGAAGCGTGACATGTAATAAACATTAATGCACTAAATTGTGAATACTTCTCAAATACAACATGCCTCTCATACTAACAACAATTATCCATTACAGGCTTTTCACAATAGTGCGCCTTCAAGAGTTTAGTGATGACTGCAATGTTATGAGCGCAGTGGTTGAAATTGCGGCACCATCTACCTTATACTCAGCGTAGGGACGGGGTGGACCGGGGCTGGGTAGCAGTACCACGATGGAGAGGGACACGGCAGTGTGTCGCTCAGCAAACGGCTCAGACATAACGTTGACGAGCCGCTGTGAGGCTGCAACTCGCTCTACCAGCAACCTGGGCTAGTTCGCACCCCATCGCATCGGTCCAAGCTGAGCTAGTTGGCTCACGAGCTTGGCAAAATCAGCTCCATTCATTGGGTTCTAAACGCTCAGAAATCAATAAAACATGAGCGTAGTTGAAGAGCTCAACCAGTGGGAAATCTTCATTTCAAAGGGTCACATGACTTCCTGCTAGAGTCGTGTGCAAGAATCTCAGTGTCGTGTGTAAAAGGCGAAACATAAAATAACAAGTCACGTGTACAAAAGTGCGCTAACCTTATATACCTAATGTGGACTTGTGAACAAAAGATGTCCACACGATGCAGGAAAGGAAAACGTTCTGTGGGCTTACACGTCCACAGGACGTTTCCCCTTCTCTGAAAAAGACGTGTAGAGGCATTTTGGGGTAGGGGTCATCCGTCGTAACAGGAAGAAAAACAGTCAAGGAAACCTTGTACAAAAAAAAAAAAAGCTGAAAATCGTGTTCTCAGTTCAAGAAAAATGAGTATTTTCATTGAGTTTTCTTAACTGCACGAAAAGAAAGGAATGTCCACAGTAGGTATTTAAGGTAAGTGTTCATCTAGTTTCGGGTGCAAAAAGGATTACACAATCATCCAACAAAACGACTGTCAGTTACAAAGTCTATAGACTTGAATCAAGTCGGACTTACGTTGCTCTTCCCCGGTCAGCCATTCCTTCAGCCTGTACGCACGTCACAGAGATCCCTACTTGAGTCAAGTCTACAAAGTCTAGGGTAACCGCATTATTGGCATTCCAGGGAACCTTACAGCACCCCACCCTTCAGCCACGTGAAGGGGGAGCTTCCAACATTCCAAACTGAGCAACAGAGGAGCGAAGGAATACGCAGTCACGTCACAGTACAGCATGAACAACTTAACACAAAATTATAGTCTCTGCTACATTTCCATTTGCATAGCTGAGCTAAATAGACCTTGTCATTGATAAATTCCGATTCTAATAAAATCTGAGCGGGATTTTAGTGCTCTGTACCAAGACCTTACAATCGTGATTTTTCCTGTGCCCACGAGATTATTCGGCCTCCCGCTTAGATTAGAAACTGATAGCAAAAGCGATTTAATGGGATTTTCTGAAGAAAAAACTTAACAAAGCCAGGAAACCTGAGAGTAAATAATCAAAATCGCACCCCTGTGCATTTTCCATGACCTTGCCGCCAAGGCCTTTCGTGCACATGCGTGCATAATTATGAATTTGTCACAGGTTGGCTCTCGATTGTCATGGTCGAGACCTC